GCGCTGTGTCTCCAGATCTGCCTTGTTCCCAACCAGCACAATGGGGAAATCGTCTCGGTCCTTGACTCTGAGGATCTGAGTGAAGAGCTTGCCTACCTCATTGAAACTGCAAGAGAAGCCAGTAGTGTGAGGCAGCCTTCGGGAAGAGCCTGTCCTGTGCTCAGGCAGGTCCACCAGCACTCCCCCTCACCTCTGCCGGTCATTAATTGCAAACACCAGCAGAAAGCCGTTGCCAGCACGCATATACTGCTCCCGCATGGCACCAAATTCCTCTTGACCTGCAGTGTCCAGGACTGTGGGGACAGGGAAAGGAGTATGTGGGTCCTAGGCTGTCCCGGGCATGCTCAGTCCTGCTAGCTGCCTCCCACCCAAGCCCAGCCATCCTCACTGTCCAGTCGTGCAGGGATGCCATCCACAGTACAGATCTTCGTGTAGGAATCCTCAATGGTGGGGTCGTAGTCAGACACAAAGTAGGACTGGAGGAAAGAGAGAGGTCACTGTCACCAAAGCATTCTCTGTGTGTGTGTGTGTGTGTGTGTGTGTGTGTGTGTGTGTGTGTGTACACGCGCCCTGCCCCTACATATTCCTCTTGAGTCTGTCCCTCTCTAGGTCTGTTTCTCTTGGTCTCTGTCCCCTCTCTTTTTTTGGATCTCTTTCCTACTCTGGATCTCTCTCTCTCTTTCTCTCTCTCTCTGTCTCTCTGTCTTTCTGTCTGTCTGTCTGTCTGTCTCTCTGTCTCTCTCTCTCTCTCTCTCCTCCTGAGTCTCCATCTGTCTTTCTCTCTTGGTCTCTCTCCCTCCTGCTTTCTTTCTCTGGGTCCCCCTCTCTCTGGGTCTCAGTATCTCTCTCCCTCCTGCTTTCTTTCTCTGGGTCCCCCTCTCTCTGGGTCTCGGCGTACCTGTCTCCCCACGCTGCCCATGTCATCTCTCTCCCTCTCCATCCCTCTGAGTCTCTGTCCTCTCTGGTCTTTGTCTCCTTTCTCTCTAGATCTCTGTCCTGCCTCTCTAGCTGTTCTGATTCCATCTTTCTGGCTGACTGTCCCCAGGTCATGGGTCCCTGTCCCCGATGCCGATGCCATTACCTCTCAGCGTGAACCCACATCTGCTATACAACACCCTCTGTTTTCTTCAGTACAAAGCATCCTCCTTTGCCATGATTACTCCCAAATCACTTTCCCTCTCTGAGTCCCACTTTCCTCATTTGGAGAAAGAGGATGAGAACACTAGACGGTCCAACAGTGTTTGACGAGCGGGAATTCTCTGCTCCACACTTCACACTTGGCCTGGTGACACTTAGTGTGCCTGGTGACTGTTAGCTCCTGAACGCTCTTGTTGACCAAAGTAGCTGCCCATCTAGCCGTCTTTCTTCCCTCCTCCGCTCCCTCCTCCGTAAGCAGCCTCCAGCGTCCCCTCCCTGGGGAAGGTCTAGGTTCCAATCCCTCTTCGGAGAGGCTGCCCCACCCTCAACCCGCCCCTCCCTTCCTGCCTGGGTCCTGCTGCCTCCAGCCAGGCCTCTGGCCAGCTCCTGGTTTGGCCCTGGGTGCCAAGGGCTCAAATTCGGGCTCTTCCTTCCCACTGTAGGCTTCTCAAAGGCACTGCTGGAGGTTCCTTGTGTGGGTCTCTCACCCAGGAACCTCTAACTACAGCAAGTGGGCTCTCACTTTCCTGGCGCTGCCCCGACCGGGTCGGGTGGTCAGCGGGGAGGCTCCCCGTGGGAACTGGGTGGAGGTTTCCGGGGCTGGGCTGGATTTTCAGAACTTGGCTGCTGCCGCTGAAGGTGGCTTCCTCTCTAGAGGGTGTTGGCTGGAAGGGGTGAAGGAGCAGAGCCTGGGGAGGATGAGGCTTGGTTTGTGTGGTGGAGACTACCTAAGACTCAGTGCTCCAGGGTGAGAACAGCCTGGAGCATTCTTGGAGGGCAGGTTTATGATGTAGTGGGTAGATGGTGCATTTATGGGTCCTAGAACCTTCCAAGTACAGATCTTTGGAGGTTGTGAAAAACCTGAGTTTTTTTTTTTTTTTTTTTTTTTTTTTTTTTTTTTTAACCTGGAGATGACTTGGGAGCTACCCAGGATTTCTAGAGGTGAGAGCAGGGAGTTGGAGTGGAATAGAGAACTTAGGGTGGAGAAATGGTTGGTTTTCCTTGGGGGTAAGGGTCTGCATTTAGCAGAATAGGGTACTGCCAGATATTGGTGTTTTTCTAGAATGGCCATGTGGCAGGATCTACCTAAGGTCTGAGGTCTGAGGAGAAATCCTCTTCAAGCAGGGGTTACAGTAGGGTGTCTTTCTTAGGATTGCGTGGTAACAGTAGAGTCCTAGAACCAAGGTCTGGGCAAACATTTCCAAAGTCTGGGGGATGGTGCCTGAATAGAGGGACTAGGTTCGAGCTGTGCCAATGTCTAAAATACTGAGCCCAGCGCCGGGCCAGTGGAGCTCTTGGGTGGTTAAGAGGTGAAGGACTTCTTCGGGCTGACTAGGTTCGGGTCGGGTCCTCAGGGAATGCTTAAGATCTGAATGGAGCAATTGTTTGGAATTTAGGATACTCCCAGGAGGTGAGTAGGGCCAGGTCCGCTGGGACATGGACTCTCAGGTACCTCGGGGAGGGTGATCTGCCCCAGGACGTATTAGGAGAAAGCTCCCTCCCCCTCATGAAGGAGGTGGAGGCCCTGGGCACTTTGAGTGGCAAACTGAGGGGATCTTTTAGGATTAGAGACCCTCTTAGAAGAGTCTTAATGACGGTTCTGGGAGAAGGAAAAGTCTCAGGGAACCCCCAAAGGGCTCAAATTCTCAATCTCGGGAGACACCCTCCCCAGTGAGGGCCCACTACCTGGATGAACTGGATGGTCAGCGCGCTCTTGCCCACGCCGCCGCCGCCCACGACCACCAGCTTGTGAGTCTCGCCGGGCGGGGGGTCCCTGGGTCCCGGCCCCCCGCCCCGGGGCCGTCCCCGCCCAGTCCCGGACGCCGCCCCGCTGCTCATGTCGCCACCGCTGCTGCCGCCGCCGCTACCGCCTAGCGGGGAGCCGGGAGAGACTAAGGGGTGGGTTATGCTAATAAACACTGCATAAACATGAGCTCCGGTCTGTAGGACGCGCGTCTCCGGATGCTTCGGGAGGAGGCGAGGCCAGGGAAGGGGAGGAGCTATACTAATAAGGGTAGGGGGAACAAGTTGGCAGGCAAGGGGAATTCCAAGAGGGACGGGGATTTGCTAGTATAGATCGGTGCCCACCCGGAGCCCAGCCACGCGCTCCTTTCGGGCAGTCCGCCTTTGGGAGGAGTTATGCTAATGAGTGCCATCTTCGGGCGAAAAGTTCTTTCGGGGCGGGGATATGCAAATTCGGGCGCCAGCGGCACTAGTTATCTTAGGTCCACCCCTGAGTACTTCTGGTGGGTGGGGCTCGTGGGCTCCAGCTCAGGGCCGTATATAGGGCGGTCTTAGGAAGCACAGGTCTCGACAAAGAAGCTCCACCTCCTTCCTGGGATCGTCGCCAAGCTCTGTGCCCGGCGTTGGTCTAGAAGCAGGAGTCTTGGCCCGCCGAGGGATCCAGGCTTCCGGTTCCCTATGTCCCAGCCAAACGGAAGATAATCTGGGAGGGGAGCTGGGGCCCTGGATGGGGACATCAGGGTAACGGGGCAGGGATGGGCTGTGAGATCACCACATTCCTAATCCATGAGCCAGCTCATCCTAGTCGGGAAGTCCGGGGCCAGAAGGGCCTACAGCCAGGGTTTCTGGTGTTTGGAGGAGGCAGTTGATGATTCAGACACCTGGTTCCTACGAGTGCATCGAGTTGGAGACTTGGATTCTCCGGTGGTAGGGAGAACAGGCCTTCGGGAGGGGCCCTTACTACTAGATTAGGTATTGGAGAACCTGAGAGCCTGAACTCTTGGAGTCTTGGGGACTCAGAATTCTGGGCTCGAGGTCATGAGTGCGCGAGGGGAAGGTTGTGGAGGAGTCTAGCACTTACGTTTGTGTCAGGTATTATATTGATGCCCTGAGAGGCCTGAGGAACGGGTCGAAGGAAGAGGATTGAGATTTCTGAGTCCCAGGGAGGAGGGAAATGAGTCTTCACTCTTCTGTTCTGAGTCAGAGGACTCAGATTTCGGACTTTACTGTCCCGAGTAAGGACGCTCTGGTCTGACTCCTTCTAAATTTACTGGAGATTATTGTAAATTCAAGGCTAGCCTGGACATCTTAGAATGAACCTGTCTCAAAATAAAAAACAAGCCGGGCAGTGGTGGCGCACGCCTTTAATCCCAGCACTCGGGAGGCAGAGCCAGGCGGATCTCTGTGAGTTCGAGGCCAGCCTGGGCTACCAAGTGAGTCCCAGGAAAGGCGCAAAACTACACAGAGAAACCCTGTCTCGAAAAACCAAAAAAATAAATAAATAAATAAATAAATAAATAAATAAATAAATAAATAAATAAAAAACAAAAAGAGGGCTATAGGTAATGCTTCATAATAGAGGGTTAAATGTAGGAGGGTTAAATTCAATCTCCAGTACCCCCAAAATGAATCGTTTAAGCTGGGCATGGTGACGGATACCTACTGACCCAGCACTGTGGAAGCAGAGGCAGGATCACAGTCTGCAGCAAGTTTCAGGCTAGTCTGAGCTACAGAGACACCTCTCAAAAAACGTCCTTAGGACTTCGAGGGGAGAAAAGTTAGAAGGGTCTCATATTCAGAAAGGCAGACTACGCGAAGGGTAGCGTCCAATTCACTTCAATTCCCATTGAGCTCAACAGCGGAGCGTCTTTTTTACATCACTTCCTGATCCGCCGCCCTTTCCCCGCGCACGCAGGGCACTGTGGGGGGCCTCACCGCGCGCTCCAGCAACCCCGCCCACTTCACCTTTCACCCCTACACTGTCCCCGCGTGACGGAGTTGACTCGCGGACTACGTCTCCCGGCGTACAGCGCGCGCACCCCGCCTCCATGCGACGCGTTGATTTCTGGGAAACCGAGTCCACCCTCCGCCCTGCCGGCCTTCAGGAAGCCCAGCTGGGTACTTGAAATCCCAGCAAGCTCGGCGGCAATTTGGCTCCGCCTCTCCTCAGCTCAACTCGCGAGCCCCGCCCCAGTCCGCCCCGCCCCGCGCCGGGGCCGGAGCCGCAGCCCGAGCGGCGGGGTAAGATGGCGGCGGCGGTCCGGGCCGCGGGGCTCGGGCCTAGCGGGGTGGGCGGGGCGGAGTCGGGTCGCTAGTCGTCTCCGAGTGTCGTCTGTACGCCACCGGGCCTGGAGAGCATAACGTGGCAGCCTCGGATCCGGCAGCGGCGGCCAAGGCAGTCACTGAGTGTGGGGCCTTCTTAGGGCCCGGGACGCGCCCGTGGGTGCCAGGGGGCGTCCGTAGGGCCTGGACCGCGCCTAGGTCAGCCCTCCTTCACGTTGCTGAACCCGGACGTGTCTGCAGGCGCCGTAGATGGTTTTTATGTGCGACCGTAGGCTAGGGTCTGTTGAGAGGCTTTTGGGGCCATCTTGAGATCTTGATGTGTGTCCCAGGAGTGAAGGGGTCTGCAGAGCCACCTAGATTGCTGGGGTATGTGTCTTAGGGCTGGGAAACGTCTACCCGTGCTAGCCTCTGCATTCAGCTCATCTACGTGGATCTGGGACAATTTATAAGGCCTGGAAGCGCTCTTCAAGGACTAGGAAGTGTTAAGGGACACCTGGAAGAAAGAGATGTGTTCCCACCCAGGGAGAGGGAGGCAAGCATTATGATGTGCCCAGAAGCATAAACGGGTCTCCAAGGTCTGGGAAGTGTTTGATGTGGGGTGACTCGGAGACGGGGGTGGGGTGGGGTGGGGCAGTTAGAAGGAACTGGAATCATCCAGGTGATTTTGATGTGATTGCAAGAATCCAGACTGCGTCTTGTAGCAAATTCAAGTGCTTTTGGAGAGTAGATAAATGTGTGGAAAATAATACAACAAAGTGCTGGGCATTTTACTCACCTCAAATGTACTTGCCCTTCAGAAAGTAATTAAAAAGGAAATGGCTTTAAACAAACAAAGAACCCGTGTTGTCCTGGTGCTGAGGAGTTAGAATCAGTCCCTGGAGGCTTGAGGGTCTGTAGAGCTGTCTAGACTCACCTAATGCAGTGCTCTGCAGCTTGACCTTGATAGGCAGGAGGAAATACATTGTTGGATGAGATTCGGTACATGCCAACATATGCATTTTACTAATATTACTCCAATCATGTAAACGGATGTTTCCATTTAAAACTTGGGAAGTATTTTTCAGTATGTTTTATGTACTTTGTGTAATGAGCTATTTGTGAATCACTAAATTGCTCCCAGGACCCTGTAATTGAGGGATCATGTATCTCCCATGGTCTGCAGAGCCTTATAATGTCTGCAGCCAGGTGCTTTTGATACAGTTTCTTGTATGTGACAGTCACTGCTCTGGATAGCATTTTTATCTCAGATAGTGCTGGGGAGCAGCCCCAGAGCTGGGAACTGTTGCTCCACAGGGTAGGAGGGTCCTGAGTATTAGTTTAGAGAAGCTTGGATATGTGGAGGGGCTGTCAGAGTAGGGTATGGCTCTGGGAACTAAGGAAGAAGCTGAAGATTTGGGGAGCTGGAGCTGAGAGACTGGCTGAATGTGGAGGCCCAGGCATAATTTCATAGAGGACAGGGCCCAGGTCTTAGGTCTTTTCTTTGCAGGTGCACAGCCGGAGAAGTAGGCTGAGACAAAAAGGGGAACCCGGTCTAAGGGCCAATGATACAATTATTGCTAATGTGTATCCAGCCATCTGTATGTGCAAATGAGTGTGATAGATGCTACTATTTTGCCATTTTCAGATAAGCACAAGGTTTGGGTTAGGAATCCCAAGATTAGGCGTGTTCAGAGTCACAGGTTTGACAGCTGTAGGGAGGCTTACAGCTGTGATGTTCATATTTTCTGAAGCCTCAATCAAGACATCCACCAGTCTGAAGGATGCTCTTTCAACCACCTGACTGGGCACTCAAAGCTCAGAATTCCCGTGACATCACCGAGGCTTTGGCCATGCTTCCACAAGACAGGCAGCTGGGTGATAGGCAAGTGTCCCAACGGGGCTGGGAGGACAACATGACTTTCTGAAATTTGGCAGTTTTGTTTTAAAAGCAGTGTAGTGGTTGTGTAGACCATACTGTCATAGTTGTGTTCATACCTATAAGTGAAGCCCTCTGGTTCCTCACCATGGAGGGGATGGATGCTTGTGAAGCTGTGATACCTGTTACAGAGTACCACTGAGCATGTCGATGCATTCCTCATTGTGAGGAAGGTGGGTTTCTGAGACTGCAGCACGCTCATAAAATCATGAGACCCAAAGTCAGGGTTGAGTTGGCATCTATCTGATTGGGTTGGGGAATTTGGGTTTTGGCTAGGAGCTTTGGGAAACTGGGCAGTGGAGGGCCAGATGTTGGAGCAGGTGGCAGAGGAGTCCTCCCATTGACAGGGGAGGCAGCTAACATTCAGAAGAAGGATGCTCTAGTCCCTGCAGGTCAGCGTGGAATTGGTGGAAGAGGGACCCTAAAGGAGATGCAGGGAGACAACCGAGGAGGTCCCTGAGACCTCGCTTCACTCCTGCGCCCTCTTCCCTCAGCCTTCACTCCAAACTGTCGCCCTCAACCCCAGGTGACCATGGAGGAGGAAGATGAGTCTCGAGGTAAAACCGAGGAGTCGGGAGAGGATCGAGGAGACGGTCCACCTGACAGAGATTCTGCCCTTTCTCCTTCTGCTTTTATCTTGGTAAGACAGCTGGGAGCAGTGGGGCCTGGGGGCCTAGGTTCCCATTTCCTGGAGTAGGGGCTGAGGGTTTGGGCCCTGGAAGAAGTGGGGCCCTGTGGGGCTCTGTGTGGCCTCAGCCTGTGGCCTGGCTTTGGGGTGCCTGGAACATGCCTTCCAAACAGCAGAGGTTATAAAAGTCTCTTACCTGGTACCCTGATTTTTTATCCCCTGCAGCGGGCCATTCAGCAGGCTGTGGGGAGCTCCCTGCAGGGGGACCTGCCTAATGAAAAAGGTATGAGGTGTAGTCCTTTCAGGCCCTTACCCTCCTCTGAGTTTAGTATCTACATTCTTTCTGAGGCGTCATGAGTGCTAGCCTTGTGGTAGGGCTAGGAGTGTCCGGGGGCCTGGGTTTGGCTGGAGGAAGGCCTGGTTGGCAGCGGACCAGCAGACCTGCAGCTTAGGGGGATAGTGTCATGGGACCCAGTGTGGTGTCAGGGCTGACCGAGAGGTTGTGAGCAAGGTAGTAGGACACTTGGGAGGCAGGAGACGTCTAGATCCAGGGCTGTGCAGGGCTCAAAGGCCAAGCTGAGATATCCCTTTCAGTACTCCAGTGGGTACAAGCTCACCCCACTAGGTCTGGTCCTGGCTCCTGTGCTCTGCAAAGCCTCACATTGAGTCCCACCTTACTTCAATGTCCATCCAGATGGCTCTCGGTGTCGTGGCCTTCGATGGAGGCGCTGCTGCCGGAGTCCACGATCAGAGCCTCGTTCCCAGGAGTCAGGGGGTGCTGACACCGCTGCTGTGAGTGAGGGTGTCCATGAACCTTCATCCTGGGGCCTGCAAGACAAGAAACTGGGGGTGGGTCTCTACCCCTGGGGCTGGGGTAACTCTAGTGGGCAGTGATGGGAGTCTGGGGACCAGATCCCCGACTAACCTGCTTCCAGAGACCATCGAGGATAAGGTTGGTTGACTCTCTGAATGTCCTTGGGGAAGTTGGTGGGTTCCTGAGAGGCTGGAACTAGGAAAGTTGTCAGTGTGAGCGCTAACAGAACTGAGCCCAACTTGGCCCCTTCCAGGTATTGGATACAGCTGCAGACAGCTTTCTTGTGGGGCTGGTGAACATCCTGGATCCCCCAGATACCTGGGTCCCCAGCCGCCTGGACCTGAGACCTGGCGAGTAAGGACCTGGGCAGCTAAAGGTAGGGGTGACTCTAACCTGAGAGCTGGGACTCTGCTGGGACTCACCATTTCTTCTGTTTTGCAGAAGTGAGGACATGCTTGAGCTGGTGGCTGAGGTCCGCATCGGTGACAGGGACCCCATGCCTCTACCTGTGCCCAGCCTTCTGCCTCGTCTCAGGGCCTGGAGGACAGGAAAAACGGGTATGTGGGACTTGCACTGTGTTGAGTAGGTGGTCTTGGAGTTGTGTGGAAATCAACTATTTTCATGTATTTGTTAATGGTGCTGGGTCCTGGACTTTGGGGGTCTCACATATGTTCAGCAAGCATTCTGCCACCAAGCTAAGCCCTACCTAGCCTTACTTAAGCTATTTGGAGTGAAGGTAGTAAGGATGGTGATGATGTTAGATACAAGTTAATGCATATGCTCCTTGAAAGAAAGCACAGGATCATGTTGGAGCATAGAGCATGCCGGGTACCAGATGGCAGAGCTGACTGATAGTGTCTTTGAGTTGGGACTCATCTCCTAGGAGGGGATCCTTACTAGCTCCATTGGTGGGTCTGGCTACTAGCTTGAGTCTGAGTGGGAAACCAGGCATTTTGGTTCTGTGCTGTGATTGTGTAGGATAGAATCTGCTTCCCATTATGCTCCTGGTAGGTGGCCAGTGACCTCAGAGCACACTGGCACATCAGCCCCAGTGGTACTAACACCTAAGCACTCCCCGAACACCTGAGGGCCTTTGTTTTTGTGCTGCTGCTGGTGTCTGAGCCCCAGCAGGTTACCTCCCTCTGTGTGCATTTGCAAGTGGAGTAGAGAGAAAGGCTCTCAGGTTGGGTCTTTGGCAACCATCAGTCCCAGTGCCTTACAGAGCGTGGATTATGACCCCACTGAAGCAGGTCACAGTCACTTTGTCCCTTTTCTTCTTTGTTGTGAGTCCACCTCTCCACTGGGCACAGGGTTATGTGCTCCCCTGGCCTCCATGGAGGTCGGCAGAAGGGTTTTGAATCTATCCTAAAATCTCGGGGTGTGGAGCTGTGAGTGCGGGCTCAGCTGTGGTCTCACATAGCTGGTGAGCTGAGAGAAGAGAATACCTGGAGGCCATGAGTGCAGGACTAACCTGGGTAACACCAGGAGGTCCCGACTCCAGAGCCAAAATTTCAGAGCTGCTGAGGATAAGCTTGCCAACAGAACCTGTTCATACAGACAAGTGGCTGTGTTTGGCTGCTGGCTGCTGCGATATCTATGGAGCCAATTGTTCTCATGGGGACTCTAAAATTATGTTGTGGTTTTATGGCTGTTTGTTGTTTTGTTTTGTTTTGGGGTTTTTTTGGTATGTTTTTTTGAGGTGGGGTCTTGTACTGTTGCCTAGGCTGGCCTGGGACTTGCAGCAAGCCTCCTTCCTTCACCTCCCTTGTGCTGGGACTACAGTCTCGGACCACCACCATTGGTGCTTATGTGTTTTAAACAATTTTGCAAATAGGGTATTTTATGTTGCTCAGGCTGTTCACAGGCTCTAGGCTCAGGCACTCCTGCTTCAGCCTCTGGCATTTAGGACTGTGGTTTTGCACTGCTCATGGTTCTTTTTAGTTTAGTTTTGGTTTGGTTTTTGGTTTTTCGAGACAGGGTTTCTCTGTGTAACAGCCCAGGCTGTCTGGAACTCACTCTGGAGACCAGGTTGGCCTCGAACTCACAGAGGTCCGCCTGTGTGCGTGCGGCACTGCTGCCAGGCCAGACTGATTTTATAGAAGGAATCCAAAGCAGAGAGGCTGAGCTAGGGGCCTTTGGTCACATGACTAGACAGTGTTGTGACGAACTGGCGATGTCCCCACTGGGCCATGCTGGGTGGGTCTTGGTTCCCTTGCTTAGATTCATCATCTGAGTCTAGGCCAGTCCTTGCAGCTGTGTGCCCTTGGTGCAGTGGGCGTTAGGGGCAAACCAAGGAGTCATGTAGAACCCGGCCTGTGAGAAGGAGCAAGTACTCCCCGATGTCCCCAGGGGCTAGTGGCTCTTGTTTCTTAGCCCTTGGGTGCAGGTTGGGGGCAAAAACTCTTGTCTTGCCGGGCCTCCAGCTCTGCCATTTCATGGTCTAAGCTGTTTCAACTCCTGTAGGGGCAGCTGGCTCTTCTGTCCTGTGGGGACATCACTGCCACTGGTCAAGGCAGATTTTAGGCTTTAGGGCTGATTTGTGGTGTGGGAGATTAGGTCAGTACAACTTCTGGGCTCAAGTGTGGACTCTGGGCATTCTCCTGCTCTACTGGGTGTCCTCCCACATGCTAGGCCGGTGCTCTGCCACAGCATACCCCAGTCCCTGACCTCACCGAACAGCACCTACTCCTTGATTGTGTGGTGTAAATAGGTCGGTTTGGCTGGAGAGGTAACCCTTTACCCAGCCTGCTCTACCTGTTCCTTCCCATGTGGCTCAAGGTCCTGGGGGCACACAGGAAGCACTAGAATAGTGTCAGGAGGGTCAGGATGGGGATGGGGCAGTGATAGCACTGGCCTGTCTGCAGGCCTCTGCACTGGGAGAGAGGGAGGGTCAGGGCATTCCTGACTGACGCTGTGCCCTGTTCTCTGCAGTTTCTCCACAGTCTCATGCTTCTCGACCTGCCTGTGCCCGGCACCTCCTCACTTTGGGCACAGGGGATGGAGGGCCTGCCCCTCCACCTGCTCCCTCCTCCGCCTCATCCTCACCTTCCCCTTCCCCATCCTCCTCTTCCCCTTCTCCCCCTCCCCCTCCCCCTCCTCCTCCCCCCCCTCCAGCTCTACCTGCCCCACGATTCGACATCTATGACCCCTTCCACCCCACCGACGAGGCCTACTCCCCGCCGCCAGCCCCGGAGCAAAAATATGACCCCTTCGAGCCCACAGGCTCCAACCCTAGCTCATCAGCGGGGAGCCCCTCACCAGAGGAGGAGGAAGAGGAGGAGGAGGAAGAAGAGGGCCTGTCACAGAGCATCAGCCGCATCTCAGAGACCCTGGCGGGCATCTACGATGACAACAGCTTGAGCCAGGACTTCCCAGGTGACGACAGCCCCCGCCCGGAGCCCCCACCTCCGCAGATGCTGGGAGCCCCAGGGACGCCACCGCAGGCTGACTCCACACGGGCGGAAGGGGCTCCGCGCCGCAGGGTCTTCGTGGTGGGACCTGAGGTTGAGGCCTGTCTTGAGGGCAAGGTGTCTGTGGAAGTAGTGACAGCTGGTGGACCGGTGCTGCCACTGCCGCCACTACCCCCCACTGATCCCGAGATCGAGGAGGGCGAGATTGTGCAGCCCGAGGAGGAGCCCAGGGTCGCAGTGTCACTGTTCCGGGCTGGGCGCCCTCGTCAGCCTCCCGCTTCAGTAGCCACTCTTGCTTCAGTGGCCACTCCTGCTGCGCCCCCAGCCTCTGCTCCACGTCCCCCTGAGGGTGACGACTTCCTGTCCCTGCATGCCGACTCTGATGGTGAGGGCGCACTGCAGGTGGACCTGGGTGAGCCACCCGCAGCTCCAGCCACAGATGCGCGCTGGGGCGGCCTGGACCTGCGCCGCAAAATCCTAACGCAGCGAAGGGAGCGTTACCGCCAGCGCTCGGCCTCGCCGGGCCCACCGCCTGCACGCAAGAAGGCGCGACGAGAGCGGCAGCGCAGTGGGGACCCGGCGCCACCCGACTCGCCAGCCTGGGATACCAAGAAGCATCGCTCCCGGGAGCGCAAGCTCAGTTCCCACACTGCTGCCCGCCGCCGCTCCCGTTCCCCGCTCCCGCCGCCGCTCTCGCTCCCGCAGCGCTGATCGCAGACGTGGCGGCCACCGCTCCCGCTCCCGCGAGAAGCGCAGGCGCCGAAGGCGCTCAGCCTCACCGCCCCCAGCGGCTTCGTCCTCCTCCTCCTCGCGGCGTGAGCGGCACCGCGGCAAGCGCCGGGAGGGGGGCAAGAAGAAGAAGAAGCGATCGCGCTCGCGGGCCGAGAAGCGCTCTGGGGACTTGGAGAAGCTGCCCGCACCTGTGCCTCCCTCAGGCTCTGACCGTGACAGCCGGCGCCGCGGGGCTGTGCCACCCTCTATCCAGGACCTCACGGACCACGACCTGTTCGCCATCAAACGGACCATCACGGTGGGCCGCCCGGACAAGGCAGAGCCCCGCGCACCTTCGCCAGCACCTGCTGTGTCCCCAAAGCGGGAGGTCCTGTATGACTCTGAGGGTCTGAGTGCCGATGAGCGGGGTGGCAAGAGTGACAAGGACCGGAGACGTTCAGGCGCTGCATCCTCATCCTCGTCCTCAAGGGAGAAAGGGTCTCGACGGAAGACCATTGATGGGGGGGACCGGGGCCGAGACAGGGACAGGTCATCCAAGAAGACGCGGCCACCTAAGGACTCGGCGCCTGGCTCCGGGCCACTGCCCAAGGCCCCACTAAGCAGCGGCTCCTCCTCCTCCTCCTCCTCCTGCTCCTCCCGCAAGGTGAAACTGCAGTCCAAGGTGGCCGTGCTCATCCGAGAGGGCGTCAGCAGCACTACCCCTGCCAAGGATTCCTCATCTTCAGGCCTGGGCTCCATCGGAGTCAAGTTCAGCCGAGACCGTGAGAGCCGCTCCCCATTTCTCAAGCCAGATGAACGGGCTCCTGCAGAGGTGGCCAAGGTAGCCCCGGGTAGCACCAAGCCCAAAAAGACTAAGGCCAAGACCAAGGCCGGGGCCAAGAAAGCTAAGGGGACCAAGGGAAAGACCAAGCCGTCAAAGACCAGGAAGAAGGTTCGCAGCGGAGGCAGTAGCACGACCAGCGGTGGGCCCGGTTCACTGAAGAAGTCCAAGGCCGACAGCTGCAGCCAGGCAGCCAGCACCAAGGGGACAGAGGAAACATCATGGTCGGGGGAGGAGCGGACCACCAAGGCCCCCAGTACCCCACCACCTAAGATAGCCCCACCTCCACCCGCCCTCACCCCGGACTCCCAGACTGTGGACAGCAGCTGCAAGACCCCTGAAGTCTCCTTCCTACCGGAGGAAGCCAGTGAGGACACTGGGGTCCGAGTAGGGGCAGAGGAGGAAGAAGAGGAGGAGGAGGAGGAAGAGGAGGAGGAGCAGCAGCCTGCCACTACCACAGCCACCAGCACGGCCGCAGCTGCCCCGAGTACTGCTCCCAGTGCGGGGTCTACAGCAGGAGACTCTGGTGCCGAGGATGGACCAGCCGCTAGGGTCTCCCAGCTGCCCACGCTGCCCCCGCCCATGCCCTGGAACCTGCCTGCTGGTGTGGACTGCACCACCAGTGGTGTCCTGGCCTGTGAGTCTATGAAGTAGGGAGAGGGAAGGGTGATGGCATGAAAGGGGTGGGTAGATAGTGGTGGGTGGGTGGAGCAGGGCAGGGTCTAGTCCAGCCTTGGGCATCCAGGGAACCGGTGGAACAGAGGAGTATGTAGTGGCCAGCACAGAATGGAGAGCTTGAACAGGGTGCTGTCTTCCTCCTAGGTAGGGGAAAGTTGGGACTTGGGTGGGTCAGGAAGCAGTTGTTACTCCAGCCATCCCCTAGTCCCCCTTGCCCCTGTGTACACACCCCTTGAGTCCTAAGAACACTGGGGTCTGTGGTGATTCTTGGTAGATGAGGCCCTTTTTTCTGTCCCGAGCGGAGATGTTGTAGTCCTGGGGTCAAGGGAGGGAGGGACCTGGCGGTGGGTGTCAGGGTTGGGGAGGGTTGCTGCCCGTCCCGGTCCCTGCACTGACTCTCACACCTCTGTCCGTTTGTAGTGACTGCACTGCTGTTCAAGATGGAAGAAGCCAACTTGGCCAGCCGAGCAAAGGCCCAGGAGCTGATCCAGGCCACCAACCAGGTGGGCTCCCATGGGGAAGAGTCCCCACAGCCCCTTCTTTTGTCCATTGCCTCGAGGTAGGAGAGGAACTACAACTCCCAGCAGGCCTTAGGGCAAGGTATTAGCCAGAAGAGGAGCCTGTTGCTCTCTAAGATTGGGAAATTTGAGGGAACAGAGGGGGTGCAAAGCCCCCTCTTCCCTTCTACCTTCCTTGGCTCATCATACTCTCTTCTCACAGATCCTCAGCCATCGGAAGCCACCCTCCACTCTGGGGGTGACCCCAGCTCCTGTACCCACTTCTTTGGGCCTGCCCCCAGGCCCTTCCAGCTACCTGCTTCCTGGCAGCCTCCCCATAGGGGGCTGTGGCTCTACCCCTCCTACCCCCACTGGGCTGGCCCCTGCGTCTGACAAGAGAGAGGGCAGCAGCAGCTCAGAGGGACGTGGGGACACCGACAAGGTGAGACGGACTTGGAGCATCAAAGGACTAGAGGGTTGGGGCGGGGAGCTGGGTCCTGGGCAGTCACTACAGAAAGCCACAGAGGGACGCTGCAGCTCATGATTGAGTGCTTGCCTGGCATGCACGCAGCACTGGGTTCCATCCTTAGTTCCCGATCACGAGCGCTAACGTGTATAAAGGAACTAGAAACATTTGTGGTTTGTATGTATATGTGTGTGTGTGTGTGTGTGTGTGTGTGTTTATAAACACCCCCTTTAATGTACCCTGCAGTTGCTCCCCACCTTTGTATAGCTGGGAGATGTTGGTTTTTAAAAGAAAAGTCAAGCACTTTTGGACTGAGTTGGTCCTACAGACTCAGGCCTGTAGCCCTAGTGTTGGGGAAGGCTGAGAGATAGTGAAGAGGCCATCCGCCGCTGGAGTGAGGGCCCTGCAGGCACAAAGAGGAAGACTGGTTTGGGCTGCTACTACCTGGCCTTGGGCTGCTTCCTTTAAGTCCTCTCTAGATGGGTTTACCTGGTCACGGCCTGGCTGTCTGCAGGCACCACCCACCGCGGTGCCTCACACTGCTGTACAACAGGCTTGTGTTGAAACAGATGCCCTCAGCTTACCTAGCCGATTCGTGAACACTCCCATGCTGTGCCAGCCAGCCCTGTTTATGCTGTTTGTCTTTTGACAAGTGTGTGGCGTAGCAGGCGGCCCCTCTTCTGTGTCACTTGAGAACCTCAGGGCCCACAGAGCTGAAACTGACTCTCCCTATAGCTGGGACACGTGTCCCCGTTACCAAAGCAGGTGTGTTATAGTGCCCTGACCTCCCCAGGGGCCATTTGCTTGGACTCATCTTGCTGTGGCCCAGGCTCTGTCCCACCTGTCTCTGGCCTCCCTGCACTTGCTTTGGGAAAACTGCTCTACCTGTGGTCATGGACACTGGGCTTTCCCAGGAAGCTCAGCCTCCCAGCACAGCTCCCCTTGATGGTGGTGTCCCATTTTCCATGAGTCACAGGATCTAGTTCCCCGGCGGTGGAGGACTGGGCCCCCTGTGACGCTGTCTACCTTAGCAGCCTGAGTGAGCCGCCTGGGCTTGACCGCTCAGCCCCTCCTGTGCTTCTGCCAGAGCTCAGGCAACCTGGACCAGAGCAGAGTGTGAGCAGCCAAGCTGGGTATCCCTGCCACTTCAGAAGGTCTACAATCAGAATAAGCCTGTAAGGTCTGGTTAGGGAGAGTTGTGACCAGCTGTGTGTGGGGCACACACCTCTGATCCTACCGCTTGAGGCTGAGGCAGGAGATTTAAAAGTTGAGGGCAAGAATGGGCAACTTAGAGCCACTACCTAGAAAGACAGCTTGGGCTGGGTGGTAGAGCACCAGCACTCCCAAGCTTTTAGCTCCAGTCCCAGCATTGCATAAAAGAAACAGTATTTGCCTGGTTTGTAGCCCCGCAGACTGCTGGGCCGGGCTAGCTGGCCCAGGGTCTGCCTGGAGATGCCCACTGGCTAGGGTAACTGCAGAAAGGGGAGCACAGGGCAGGCGGCCAGGGTGAGGGCACTGCAGGTCCCCTCACTTGCTTGGTCTTCACTCTCCCTGTCTCCCCACCCCCCCAGTATCTGAAGAAGCTGCACACACAGGAGCGGGCAGTGGAAGAGGTGAAGCTGGCCATCAAACCGTACTACCAGAAGAAAGACATCACCAAGGAGGAGTATAAGGACATCCTGAGGAAGGCTGTCCACAAGGTGGGGCAGAGGGACTGTGGGGATGGGGACCTGGGTCCAGGAGAGGGACATAGGGTAGGCCCAGTCATTGAGTCAAGGGTGCCCTGGGGCTGGCAGGAACTCAGTTGTTCCCGGCTCCGCAGATCTGCCACAGCAAAAGCGGGGAGATCAATCCTGTCAAGGTGAGCAACCTGGTGAGGGCCTACGTCCAGCGCTACCGCTACTTCCGCAAGCACGGTCGCAAGCCGGGTGACCCCCCAGGACCCCCTCGGCCACCCAAGGAACCAGGGCCTCCAGACAAGGGTGGCCCAGGCCTGCCCCTGCCCCCTCTCTGAGACTTCATACCCTGTTCCTATGCCTCTGAGATTCTGGACATATTTATGGCTCCACTTCCCCACTATACCCCCACAGTGGGATGTTGGGGTCGCTGTGAGGAAGAGGAGAGCCGCCCCCCCCACCCCGCCCTGCCCCTGCCCGTTACCCTGGCCCCTTAGCCTACCCCCACGGCCTCAGCCCTTCTGTTATGCCCCCTCCAATTTCATTAAAGATTCCATGAACTATAGACGGTGCGCGCTTGAAGCAGGCTGACCTCTGTAAGTTCGAGGACAGCTAGGGCTACAGATATTCTGTCTTCAAAAAAAAAATTTTTCCCCATAAAATGCTCTTTTCAGGAGGAAAGGATTATGGGGGGGGGGTATTATGGGGCCACACCAGCCCAGGAACATGGTGGTGACAGGAGGCAGGGCCCAGCCTGAGTCGCAGCTGGCCTGTCTCATGTACACTGGAGCTGATGCCACTGAGGGGCCTCTAGTGTTAGCAGCCCTGTGAGGCTGCAGTGACTCAATCCATGGTCCTAGCAGGAAACCGAGGCCAACAAGGGCTACATGGTGAGTCGGTCTGCCTCACACTGGCTTGCCAGGGGCCATCCGTTACTACTTAGGTAGCTCATGTCTCCATGAAGGGAGAGTGTGCAGCCTGGTCTGGCCTGTCTCTTGCTTCCTCTTACTTCCTCCGGGACCTTGGAGAGGTCAGGAGCTGGTAGCCAGGCTGTACTTGCTCCTTGTGCCCCACTCACCGAGCACCAAACTCCAGCTGCAGACGGGAAACTGAGACCCCTGTAGAATAATCACCAGCTTGGGGGCAGTGTGACACCAGACAGACGTGTGATGGCGGCATAAACTGCTTTATTGATAGCAGCCGAGCAGGGCTCAGGTGTCTCTGGTGGCCTGGAGGTCCATGTCCTCCACCAAGTCCTGGAGGTAGGCTTTGTACTGGTCAGAAGTGAGGGAGATAGGCTGGCTGTTGGAGATGTGCAGGTCCACAGTTCTCAGTGACGAGGCTCCCCCTTCCCGGGCCATCTCTAACAGCTCCTTAAGACATGTGGGAACAACCTATGGGGGTGGGGCAGGAAGGAGTCAGGGCAGATCTCCAATCGGCTGTGAGCCCCCCACACAGCCCAGGGTGAACCCGTACTCAGCCTAGGGCTGCTGTGAACTGTAGCCCCCCCCCCCCCCCCAGTCATAACCCAGGGGGCTCCTGGGAGCTGTACACTTCAGAGGCTCCAAAGACTTGCAGCTGCCAGCTACATGGTCTAGTGTCAGAATAAGCTCTGACTAGCCCTGTGGAAGATGGGGAACAGTGGCTGTAGAGCCCTGGTGGAGTTGTTTCTTGGAGGGGCTTCTGGGAGTTCTAGTCCCTGGCTGCTGCAGGTTCCTCCACAATGGACCCTCCCAGCCCCAGAAGCACAAGACAGCTGGCACCTTGACCATCACAAGCCTCTTGACCCACGGCTGGTCCTGGGGCCACGACTCCCCCACACAGAACCACAGAGTGTAGCGTGGGGAGCGTCCACTTCCTTCCATGAAGGCAATCAGATCTGGGAACCCAGGAGTCAGGTCAGAAAAGAAAGGATGGCGCTCTACCCTTTCCACACACTCAACTTCCTGTCTTCCCTGGTGATGTCCTGCTCCCACCACAGACACTGCCCATCTGGGAAAGTCCTGCAGACACTACTCAAGTGTCCTCATCCACAGCCCCTTCCTTCTGCCAGCAGCACTGTGGGGTGAGATGCTAACCCACTCTACCCAGAGGCTCGGACAGAGTGAGGAGGAGGCTGTCGGGATGGCTCCTCAACAGCTCAGCCCTCACTGTGGCTCTCTAGATTGACACAGTCACGCCAGCCTTTGAGCATGTGGCAGTGGAATGAGTTCAAGGCCAGCAGAAGCAACAAGAGTGAGACCCTTTCTCAAAACAGCTTTAAAATTCTCAACAGTCCCATGTGTTTGGTGGAAAACACTGGAGGCAGGTGCTGGGCTCATCACTCCACAAGACTGCTGGACAGCAGAACTTTCGGGGACTTACTTTTCCTGTAATTTGCAGGGGCACTACCACTGAGCCAAGCCCCTTGCATCATTTCTATATTCACTCTAAAATGTTTGCCAGAGCCGGGCGGCGGTGGCGCACGCCTTTAATCTCAACACTCAGGAGGCAGAGGCAGGCAGATCTCTGTGAATTCGAGGTCAGCCTGGGCTACAGAGTGATTTTTAGGAAAGGTGCAAAGCTACACAAAGAAACCCTGTCTTGAAAAACCAAAAAGGAAAAAAAAAAAAAAAAAGGTTTCCAGGGCATCTTACGGTGCCTGTACTACATACATTAGGTTTAACAGTTACAACAGCCAGTCCCCGAACTTGTGGTGTAAGCCTGTTCTTTGCCACGGAGCAGAGGAGCAGGCTTTGAATTCAATCAACCACAATGGTCTGTCAATTCCCATAGTTACTCACCTGCCACAAAAGGCCCAAGGTCGAACACACCTCCGTCCTTGTCCTTGGGGACCTCTCCGTCAGGTCCTCGCCCACTGTCTGGAAGCAGCTCCTCACCCAGAGCCCAGAAGGAGTGGGAGTGGCCCAGGCGCTGGGCCCAGAGACACTGCCCTGACCTCCACAGTGCCAGCCCCTTGCCCAGCCCCTTGAGTACATGCCTCACATACTCCCTCACGAGCCTGTCTGTCAGAAACCCCTCAGGGTCCGGCAGGGTGACTGGCTGCCCAGGCAGTGTCCCATTTTCAGCTGTGGTGCCCACAAGCCGCAGGCCCCCTGGGCAAAAGAGTGTCTGCTGGAAGACCTGCCGGCCTCGATAGAAAGCGGTCACTTCGAACTCCCATTCTGAGTGGTGGCATGAGAGGGGAGAGATGAAGAGGACCAGGGTGAGGACTGCATTCCCTGCGGCAGCCCTCCCTACCCCATAGCTAGCACTCACGTTCCTCAGCTAGCAGCTGCCTCAGTGGATTTTCCTGGGGTGCCAGGTTTGGAAAGTTGTCCAAATTGGGGCTTAGCAGTGGTTGAGTGTGATCAGGAGCAATAGCCAGGCCCAAGGACCCCTCATCTGGGAGGGGTCCCAAGACTATGCCATCCAGTAATTCCAGGAGGTCTTCCTGGAGGAGGAAAGAGCTGCTAGTCTAGTTAATAGCCTCAGCTGAATCAGGAGGGTAGCAGACTGGTAAAGAATGGAGGTCCAGGGGTAAAAGCTGGGGGTGGGAGGAAGGGGTGACCTAACAGCGACAGGGCAAGGATGAGGCACAGGACTGTTGCCTCCTCACCTGGGGATCAGACGGACTGCTTTTGCCATTGGTATCAGGAGAGGTGTCCAGATGTACAAAGTCTCTTGCTGCTGTCCAGAGAGAGGGTGAGTAGAATGAAGGGCAGAGATCCTCCTGATCACAAGGTTTTTGTGACTCCCCAAGCCAGCCTGGTTACACACACCTGGAGTCACAAACTCATACACTTTATGAGGGTCAAATGGGTCCTTGCTCTTGTCATCGGCTAATCGCAACACTTCTTTCCGGTTCAGGGCTGACCGGAAATTTCTCTTCCAGGTTGACAAGTCTGGCTTATCCTTCCCTGGGGTGTAGGCACCACTGGCTTCGGCCCAGGCCTGGCACACCAGTGATTCCAGGATAGGAGGAAAGATAACTTAGTCTCTGCCCTGAGGTCCTGACACCTCCCACCATGTCCCATCCTGTAGTTTCAGACCAAAGGTCTCACATTCACTGGGCCCCCAAGTCTTCCATCCTCATCCCTAGCCACTACTTTCCACACCAAAAAAGAAATCATTTTTGGTTTTGATTTTTGTTTTTGTTTTTTTTTTTTTGGTTTTTTGAGACAGGGTTTCTCTGTGTAGCTTTGCGCCTTTCCTGGAACTCGCTCTGGAGACCAGGCTGGCCTCGAACTCACAGAGATCCGCCTGGCTCTGCCTCCCGAGTGCTGGGATTAAAGGCGTGCGCCACCACCGCCCGGCCATTTTTGGTTTTGAAACAGGGTCTCACACACTGTAACAAAGCTGGGCTCCAACTTCTTACTGGCCCGCTTCCTCCAGAGTGCTAGGAGGACAGACTATGGTACCACGCCCACCTTGAAGCCTTCCAGGGCCTATTTGGTACCTCACCCCAGGACACCCTCTGGGGACCACATCTCACATTCTCTCTATTACTACCACTAGTCCATGCTAATTTGGCAGCTGATGACCCCATTATATTGGCAGTCTCAGACCTTAAGGTTTAAGGGTTCTAATCCCTAATGCTGCGACCCTTTACTACAGTTCCTCATGTGGTGACCCCCAACCATGAAATTATTTCTGATACTACTGTTATGAATCATAATGTAAATATCTGACAGGCGACCCCCGTGGAAGTGTCTGACCCACAGGTTGAGAACCGCTGCTATAGAGCGTTCTTAAGCGATCCAAACTTGCTTTCCGGGTTCCATTCTTGGAATCTGCCAATCAATTCCTGTCTATCCCTCCAGTCCCGTCCACCTTCATTAGCAAGCCACCTCCCACCCCACCCCCGTCCCTGATTAGCCACGCTATGGAACGTCTCTCCGAAGTCCTCAAGAACCTTTGGCCCCTAGCACCTGGAAGATGCCAAAGTCAGCCATCTGGGCGTCCTGCCGCAGGCCATGCTTCCATGGGATCCGGAACCGAGTGCGGCTCTCGTCCAGCCAGGCCACGCCTTTCAGCTGCCCCAGGTCCAGCTGCGACACCAGCCAGGGCAAGATCCGCGGTTTTGGGGTTCCCATGATCGGGCCTGCGCACACAGGGCAGTTCCTGAGCCTGCATGTCAAGCGGCAAACGCACTCAAACTTCTCCGACCCGCCACAGCGCAAGCCATTTTTTCACCCATGCTTTCGTTGGGGTACAAACCGGGAAACTCCTTCCCACCCTTCCATACTCAGTGGGGCCATCTTTCCTATCCCAACGTCTTCGGTAGAAACTCTACCTACCCATCGGTTCCTTCTCTTTTATAAACGTAAACCCTTCTCTATTATCCAAAGCAGGTACCCCCACTTCCAGGGTGGAGCCCTCTTCCCTATTCTTTTCAGGACCGCGACTGCTCCCTCACCCAGTTCCCTTGCACTGAAAACCCTTGCTCATTTCCAGTCTTCTCTCAAACGCTCCCAAGTGCAGTCGCTTCTCTCCAGGCTTCTTCTGTTTTGATTTTTCTATGTTGTTTTTATGCATGTTTTGAGACAGGTTCTTAATACGTAGCCCAGGCTGGTCTTCAACTCACTATGCAACCCAGACTGGCCTGGGACTATGTGGCCCAGGCTGGCCTCGAATGCCCTCTGTCGCCCAAGCTAGCCTCAAACTTATTCAGTAGCCAGGTTGGTCTTCAGCTCAGGTAACCCTGGCTGGTCTGGAGCTCATTCTGTGGTCCAGCCTGGTCGGGCACTCACTCTGGGGCCCAGGCTGGCCTTAAACTTGCAGCAATTTTACTGCCTTCAGCTTGAGTGCTCAGACTGCAGGCCTACGTCTTCAAGTCGCAGCCCTTCTGGTTTCCTGCAGCCGAACTCCTGCGCGTCAAGGCTGCCCGGGCCCATCCTGCGCCCCGAGGCCGCCACCCTCCCGATTCTTCCGCGTTACCTACCAGGGGAGCAATCGCGCGCTCGTGGGGCGCTGGTGCCAACACTGGTTTCGGGGCTCCCAGCAGTTCGGAGACTCGCAGTCACGCACCCTTCCCCTCCTGTGAGCTAAGCCTCTGAGCGCTGCGACTTTCTTTTCTAACGATATTTTGAGTTAAAAAACAGTTTTCTCATAATTTGGTAAGAAACGCAAAAGTCGGCAGGCCACTTCTGGGCAAAAGCCAACTCCCTCAATGCCCTTTTTCGGCCTTCCGCCCACAGGCATGCTGGGAACGCCATATGCAAATCAGACTCAACACAACGCCCCGCCCCTTCAACGTTGGGGCGGTTACCAGGTCGGCCCAGTGCGCAGGCGCGGGAAAGTTGAATTTACGAAGAAAAGTTAGTAGAAATTGAGTGAAAGCGTGGGCGCCGGCGTCGGCGCGACTAGAGCAGAATCCCGAACCAGGTGAGCAGGGTGCCAGGAAGGTACTCGAATAGAAAGGGAGGGGAACCAGTTGCAGGAGCGGCCACAGCCAGTCCTACCTCTCTGAGGTCCAAGCACCCGGGTCTCCGGTGCCAGCCAGAGGTAGTTGGAACTATATCTCCCAGCAGGCTACTCGGTGAAAAAGCGAGGAAACCGGGCCAATGTATGCCGCAAAGCCTACTGGGATTGGTAGTTCCCTATCCTCTAAGGACTTAAATACCTCGATGAATGGCTCCTTCAGCATGCAAGGCTGGGAGCTCCAAACCCCCTTCCCTCTCCTGGATATAGAAGTCCAAGCACTCAGCTACCTCCTCTCTTAGACCCTGCTCTCTCCAGACTTTTTGCTCGATGGAATCAGCTCTCTCACTGGCCCTTGGCCACCTTCTAGGAGTCGATCTGGCGCCCTCTTCATTTTAGGGACTCGGAGGTTTGAGCATATCATTGCACTTGAGTTCATCCTTTGTCCTCTCCTTCAGGTGCCTCCATGGCCGGCTCTGAAGAGCTGGGGCTCCGAGAGGACACACTGAAGGTTCTGGCTGCTTTCCTTAGGCGCGGTGAAGCTGCTGGGTCCCCTGTCCCAACTCCACCCAGGTGAGTGAGTGACCACTCTCCCAGGGACAGCCTTTGACTGCAAGATCTTCCCGAGTCTTGGTACTGGTCCCAGCCTGTCTCCTCCCTTCAGATCTGACCCCATATGCCTGTCTCGAGTTTCAAGAGTGCTCTTCCATGGGGTTACTCTGAGGTTCTTGTCCCTAGGAGCCCTGCCCAAGAGGAGCCAACAGACTTCCTGAGCCGCCTCCGAAGATGCCTCCCTTGTCCCCTGGGGAGAGGAGCCCCTCCCCCGGAATCCTCTCGGCCCTGCTTCCTTCCCCTACGCCCCTGCTATGGCTCTGAGCCTGGTAAGATATTTACACTGGTTACCTGTGAAACTTTGATGGTTAGGAGCTTTGGTTCCAAAAATCCAGACAGTACCTGTTATAAGGTCAACACCAATCAGTTTTAGCCATAACTATTCCCTCCTGTGTTAGACTTCTTTCTAGTGGGTAAGGGCAGTGTTGAGACATAGTCACACTTGCTGGAGCCCTCCAGTTTGAGGTACTGGAATCACAGGCATGCCTCATTAAATAGAACCCCAGCTTAAATTTATTTATTTTTTCTTTTTTGGGTTTTTTGAGACAGGGTTTCTCTGTGTAACAGCTCTGGCTGTCCTGGAACTCACTCTGTAGACCAGGCTGGCCTCAAACCCACAGAAATCCACCTGCTTTTGCCTCCCAAGTACTGGGATTAAAGGCGGGCGCCACCACTGCCCAGCGGTCAGCTTAGATTTCTTCCTAGCAGTTCTGTGGTCGACCAGGAGGAGGTGCTCTGGCACACTTCTTAGGTAGTTATCTCTTTCCTACATAGGTGCTTCAAGGGTTCTTAGGGAAGACTTCACTGTCGCCCCAATACCCCAGCACATGAGACAGGAGACATGGTTGTCAGTCACAACTCCCTATCTAGCTGGGTATGGGTGCGCACTGCTGTAATCAGCACTTGGGAGACTGAGGCAGGAGGATTGCTGTGGGTTTAAGGCCAGCCTGGATTACAGAAAGCTGATGATGTAGTTGAGTCAGTAGAGTGCCTGCCTAGCATGCACAAAGCCCTGTATTCAGTTCCCAACAGCACATGCGGCATGGTAGTACACATTAGGAGGGAGAGGACAGAGGCCTCCAAGGGCACCAGGCATGCACTTGGCACACAGACATACATGCAGGCAAAACACCCATACTCGTTAAATAAAATTAAAAAAAAAATTGGGGGGGGGGCTTGTTTTGTTTTGTTTTCTCTGTGAAACAGCTCGGACTGTCCCATGTAACAGACTTTCTTCTTGCGCCACCAACCAGCTTCCAAGTCATGACATGGAGACTTATTATTAATTATGGATGCTCAGTCTTATCTTATGCTTGTCCCATTAGCTCTTATAACTTATTTTAACCTGTTTCTCTTTATCTGTGCTTTACCGTAGGGCTTTTTACTTTTCATTCTGTATGTCCTATTTCCCTGCTTACTCCCTCCTCTCTCCCTTCTCTCTGGAGCCTCGAGTCTTCCTACTTATAGTCACTGCCCACCAGCCCCACCCATCCCTCTCCTGCCTAGTCATTGGCCATTCAGCTTTTTTTTTTTTTTGGTTTTTCGAGACAGGGTTTCTCTGTGTAGCTTTGCGCCTTTCCTGGAACTCACTTGGTAGTCCAGGCTGGCCTCGAACTCACAGAAATCCGCCTGGCTCTGCCTCCCGAGTGCTGGGATTAAAGGCGTGCGCCACCACCGCCCGGCAATTCAGCTTTTTATTAGACTAATCAGGTTTCTTAAGCAGGCAAGGTAAAACAGCAACACATTTTTACATTGTTAAACAAATGCAACATAGCCGGGCGGTGGTGGCGCACGCCTTTAATCCCAGCACTCGGGAGGCAGAGCCAGGCGGATCTCTGTGAGTTCGAGGCCAGCCTGGTCTACAGAGTGAGATCCAGGAAAGGCGCAAAGCTACACAGAGAAACCCTGTCTCGAAAAACCAAAAAAAAAAAAAAAAAAAAAAAAAAACAAATGCAACATAAACAAATGTAAGATATCTTTGCCCAGTTAAAGTAATATTCCACAACAGTTCTGGAACTCACTTTATAGACCAGGCTGGCCTTGAACTCACAGAGATGTGCCTGCCTCTGCCTCCTGAGTGCTGGGATTAAAGGTGTGCACCACCACAAAGAATATTGGATCTCATGGATCTAGAGTTACAGAAAGTTGGGAGCCACCATGTGGGTGGTGGGAATTGAACCCAGGTGTGCTGAAAGAACAGCCAGTGCTCTTAATTGCTAGGTCATTCAACCTCTGATGTGCTTTTCTGGCCTTCATGGGCACCACACACCCAAGTGGTACACAGACACAGGTGCAGCAGAATACCCATAAACATAAAATTAAAAAGTAATTTTAAGGAAGTGTAACTGAGTAGATGGCTTACCTAAGAAGAAAAGTGCAGCTGCAGAGTTCTGTTGCTGATCTGTGAACTGGACAAGGGGTAAGGTGGTAACGGCAGAAATGCTGTGTGCCCTTATTGGATGGAATAATCTCCAAAGTTTAGCTCAGATATTTCAGTTTAATTTGAAGGTGTAACCAAGTAGAAAGGCTGAGGACTTTGACATCTTTTACCAAATTCTCTCATGGCCTCAGTTTACACCTTTGTGAAATGGAAATTGTTGATAAGATGGTTTGGAGGAGAGAATCCATAAGTGTCCTGTTCTGTAGACACAAAGAGTTATTCTTGCCACCAGGTCCAGCGACTTCAGACTTCTATGCCCTGGTTGCCCAGCGTCTGGAACAGTTGGTCCAAGAGCAACTGAGATCTCCGCCCAGCCCAGGTAAGCAGCAGAGGGGCCCTGGAGACCGGTGGGAGCGGGAGTGAAGCCAGGCCCCTGCTCAGTTCGATTCTCTTCTTTCCCCCAGAATTCCAGGGACCCCCACCCACAGAAAAGGAAGCCCTGCTAAGGAGGCTGGTAGCCTTGCTGGAGGAGGAGGCAGAAGTCATCAACCAAAAGGTGACCGGCCTATGCGCTATGCCTTTGAGAGGACAGTAATGGGATAGGGCAGAAGCAGGAGTGGCATTGCCTTGGTGAACACCAGATCATCTTAACGAGAGCTTTGGAGCCTCACCACAGTAGGACTTTAAAAAGGAAATGCCCAGCCGGGCGGTGGTGGCGCACGCCTTTAATCCCAGCACTCGGGAGACAGAGTCAGGCGGATCTCTGTGAGTTCGAGGCCAGCCTGGGCTACCAAGTGAGTTCCAGGAAAGGCGCAAAGCTACACAGAGAAACCCTGTCTCGAAAAACCAAAAAAAAAAAAAAAAAAAAAAAAAAGGAAATGCCCGCTGGAGGTGGGTGTGGCTTCTGCGTTTCCTGGAATCTGATTGGCTTTCAAAGCTGGACGGTACTGTAACAGTAATAATCTGGTAGGAAACAAGGTTTCCATAAATGGCTTCAGCGATTCTTTTTTTTTTTTTTTTTTCTTTCTCGAGACAGGGTTTCTCTGTGTATCCCTGGCTGTCCTGGAACTTCTCTGTAAATCACGCTGGCATCGAACTCAGAGATCTGCCTGCCTCTGCCTCCCGAGTGCTGGGTTCAAAGGCATGCGCCACCGCTCCGGGCTTGGCTTCAGGGACCCTTAACTAAAGGAGAATTTACTGTTTAGAACTCAGAACTGTACTTTGCTCTGGGTCTAGACCCCCTTCCTGGGAGTCCACTGGCCATAGAGGCTGGTTGGGTGGGACTTAGGGCTTGGCAGCCCCGCCCACCTGGGCTGTTTGCAGAGTAGTAGTGGTAACTGACACTGCCCTCCGACCCTCAGCTAGCTTCTGATCCTGCTCTGCACCGCAAGCTGGCTCGCCTGTCAGCAGGCTCCTTCGCCCGCCTCGTGGAACTCTTCTCCAGCCGGGAAGTCAGCTCCTCCCAAAGCTGTGCGAGCCCCTCCTTGCCATGCCCGGCACCGCCACCGCCATCCCCGGAGCCACTGGCCCGCCTGGCTCTGGCCATGGAGCTGAGCCGGCGCGTGGCTGGACTGGGGGGTACCCTGGCCGGCCTCAGCGTGGAACATGTACACAGCTTTGCGCCTTGGATCCAGGCCCATGGGGGCTGGGTAAGTCGTAGACATTCTGCCAAGCCTCAGTTTACTGCTGTTTGATGGGGGACAGCTTAGGTTTCCTTCCATTCAGTCTATTGTGTGTTTATTGAGCACTTGCTGTATGCCAGGCACCTTGCTGAGGTCCTGATGCCCAGCTGTCTTGATCCAGCAGTTGTGAGAATAGTTCTTGCAGCTCCCCAGTCCTCTCATCTTTCTAGGGTGGTTGTGTAGTGGAGGATGGGATTCTTCAGGGATGCATGGGATACTTAGCTAGTGACCCGGGTCCCACGGACCTCTGCTTCTTATGTTGAGTATCAACTCAGTGAGGTCTCCCCTGGACCCTATTTATTGTTTTATAAACATAAAATAGAAATAAATCTGTTTGGCATAATGCCATATTTTTAATTCCAGGACTCAGAGGCAGGTAGATCTCTATGAAGTCAAGGCCAGCCTAGTATACATAGGGAATTCCAGACCAGCTAGGGCTATATAATGAGACCCTGGAGGTGGGAGTAAGGGTAGGGGGAATGGTACCTGGTGGTGCAGGCCTGTCATTCCAGGTACCAGAGAGACTGAGGCAAGAGCATCCAGGTTTAACGACATCTGGGTGACAGAGAGTAGGTTCAAGGTCAGCCTAGGAACTTAGTGAGATCTTGTCTCAAAATATGAACAGAGCTCAATGGTAGAGTCTAGCACTTAAGAATGGGATTAAAAAAAAAGTGTGGTCTAGAGACACAGCTAGCCATGGGAGGGCCCCTGATCATCCTGAGATGGGGGCTCTGAGATACAGATTGTCTGCGCATAGCCCCATCTGGATAAACCCGGAGAGACCTGGAGATGGGGGCCAGTCCCAACAGGAAGGACTCTGGATTTCATTGCTTGATGAGGCTGGAGGTTCTCTCTCAAGACTGAATGTCGGCACCAGGTTATCGAATTCCCCACCGTTCCCTGCCAGTGGAGATTTCTCCCAAGATCCGGGATAGACACTACTAAGTGGTGAAGAAATTAATCTGAGGGATATTGAATGAATCTAAGCACACCAGGCTCTTTAGTCCATTCACTTCATTCTTCTCAGTCAATTCTGTCTACACAGCTTCTTTTCTGTTCTCACACTTAGCTCCTCTGTCCCTTCTTCCGCTCTTCTCTCATTGTTCTATCTTAGCCCTTTTGTTTTCCCCCAAGTATATATATATGTGTGTGTGTGTGTGTGTGTGTGTGTGTGTGTGTATATATATATATATATATATATATATATATATATATATATATCTCCATTCATTAACAACTTGTTAGTAAAACTACAAATTAAACTCTCAGGGACAAGTATGCTGACAAGAGTCACACTTGGGCCTGGCGGTGGTGGCGCACACCTTTAGTCTCAGCACTCGGGAGGCAGAGGCAGGCAGATCTCTGAGTTCGAGGCCAGCCTGGTCTACAGAGTGAGTTCCAGGACGGCTGGGACTGTTACACAGAGAAACCCTGTCTCAAAAAAACAAAACCAAAAACAAACAAACAAACAAAAAAAGTCACACTTGGCAAAGACTTGGTCAGCTTAATTGGTGATTTACAACAGCTATAGGTTGTAAAAAGTTCTGGCTATCTCTTAAAAGGATAGCTGCAAGGGTTACAAGGGAAGAAAATAAACCAATGAGAGATTTAAGGAAAAGGCAAAGAATATGTGTACTATTTTATGTGAAATAAATACAAAGTGTTAATTGTTTTTTTGAATTAGAGTGGGGAGGTGCTGGTGGAGGAAGCTCAGGGCAACATAGGTGCTGTTGGTCTCTTGAAGGACTGAGATCTACCCAGGCCAGACACCTGCTCTATCACTTCTAGTTCGCTATAATTCTTCCAAGGGTTTTGATCCAACAAGGCCCTCAGGCACCTGCAATTCTGCTCTGTGAAAGTTCCACGAGGACACTTTGTTTGGCTAATTTTGCCTGGTTAGTGGCTAAGGATGGAGAGCAAGACCTCCAAGTGTCTACAGTCCATGGAACAATAGACCTAGTTATGAAGCATATTTTAGTATGTTTCTATTCATAAAAATTGGGGCAGTGATGGCGCATGCCTTTAATCCCAGCACTTGGGAGGCAGAGGCAGGCGGATCTTTGTGAGTTCTAAGCCAGCCTGGGCTACCAAGTGAGTTCCAGGAAAGGCTCCAAAGCTACAGAGAAATCCTGTCTCAAAAAAAAAAGTGCAGTTAAATAAGAAACCATCTTCTAGACTATCCACAGTTATGTGTGCCCATAAGACTGAGATGTAATCATGAGATTACATGTACATATAACAATGAAATGCATGGAAATGGGGAGAATCATAGCTGTTATTGCACGAGAAGTTTACAAGAAACGATCAATTCATTCAAAAGGCAGGAATTCCATAACACCTTACGTGATGGTTTCCTCCTACAGAACCCTTAGTTCTGACAGGTCGACCTTCTGAACACTAGTTGTCACCTGCTGTATACTCCCATGGTCTTTGCTACCAGTGGCTCTCAATACCAGGTCAAAGATGTTACTGTGAGCATCTGTAGGGTTCCTCTGCACTCCCTGGGATAGGGAGCTGGGAATGATGGAGGAATCCAGACTACACTGGAGCATAATGAGGAGAGGAAGGATGGACATGTGGAACTCATCCAAGAACCTGGCATACCCGCTTCTTTTAACAGAGATGTCAGGAGAACTTAGGGGAGACCAGAGACTGGGCAGGGCTGTCATGGAGTTAAAGGACAGTCCTTAGAACAGAGACTGAAACCAGCACAGAACAGCCAGCCCCTGAACTACTCTGTGCCTTCCTCTGTTTCCATCCCTCTCTGTGTATCTGATCCTATCTCTCTGGCCTCAGTCTCCCCCCTGTCCTTCGTGCAAGGCCTCAGTTCATGGGCTCTGTCCCCTGCAGGCAGGCATCCTGGCCATCTCACCTGTGGACCTGGATTTACCCTTGGACTGAGTGCTTCCTCTTCCTCTGAGCTGCTGCAGGAATGACCACAGCTGCTGGTGACACACATATTTCCTCTCAGGGCTGCGGGGTGGTGGCTTGCCATGGCACTTTTTTTTTTGCCAAAAAGATTGTCTAGAAAAGTCTCTTTATTAAAAGCTTTGTTCTTTAACTAAAGCACCAAGGTGTTTGTGACTGTGTGAGTTTATATGTGTGTGGGTATGCATTTGAGTGAACTGGAACATACGTGGAGGTGAGAGCTCAGGGGTGGAGTCTTTACCACACGCCACCTTTTTTTTTTTTTTTTGACACAGGGTCTCTCTATGTGGCCCTGGCTGTCCTGCAACTCTGATTCCTGAGTGTTGGGATTGCACCGGGCGTGGTGACCCACTCCTTTAGTCCCAGCACTCTGGAGGCAGAGGCAGGTGGATCTCTGAGTTGGAGACCAGCCTGGGCTACAGAGTGAGTTCCAGGACAGCCAGAGCTACACAGAGAAACCCTGTGTGTGTGTGTGGGAGGGGGGGAATTCAAAGTACAAAGCCTAGCATTTGGGGTGCAGAGGCAGGTGGATATATCTGAGTTCAAGGCCAGTCTGGTCTACAGAGTGAGTTCTGGGACAGCCAGGGCTACACTGAGAAACCCTGTCTCGAAAAAACAAAAAACAAAAAGAAAAGAAAAAGAAATAATAGTGGCTGGGAGAGATTTTCGCAAGCCTTAAATCCCAGCACTTGTTAGTCAGAGGCAGGCTGATTGATATGGCGAGTTCCAGGCCCAAGGCTACACAGTGAGACTGTCTAAAAACAAACAAGTCATACCAGATATCTTTTTTTTTTTTTTTTTTTTTTTTTTTTTTTTTGGTTTTTCGAGACAGGGTTTCTCTGTGTAGCTTTGCGCCTTTCCTTGGAACTCACTTGGTAGTCCAGGCTGGCCTCGAACTCACAGAGATCCGCCTGGCTCTGCCTCCCGAGTGCTGGGATTAAAGGCGTGCGCCACCACTGCCCGGCCCATACCAGATATCTTAAGTGTTAACAGCCTGCAGCAGATGGTAAAGGCGCTTGCCGCTAATGACTTGAGCTCAATTCCTTACACTTACATGGTGTAAAGAAACGACTCCTCTAAGTTGCTCTGTGACTTCCATACGTGCGTCTCGGCACACACGCACGCACACGCACACTAAACAAAGTAATTAAATGTTAGGAGTCTGAAGGAAGCATGTGCACGCATACCTCATGAGGAGGCCCGGATTGAAGGGGCTCATTTGGTAATTTAAAGGATCCTGTGTTTGGGCCAAGTACTGGTGGGACAAAGGTAAAAGGCAGGCGCACAAACCCAGCAATTAGCATCCATCCTCAGGCAGAGAGTGACGTTTTGCAGATGCAGGGAAACTTCCTGGAGGAGGTGGTGTCCAAATTGCTTGTGATTGACGTGAAGGAGTTGGCCAGACAAAGGGTGATATCTGGGTGTTTCCCGCAGAGGACTAGAAAGCCACAGGTCTTCAGAACTTGGCGCAGTCCAGTACAAGGGTGGGGCAAATCACACTGATCTCACCACGACTCCTGGCTGGTTTTAGGGCCCCAGACCAGAACTCTCCCCCATCTGCCTTCCAAAGACTCGGTATTTCCCCTCAGCTGGCCCACGCACCCCATTTCCTCCTGTCGTCTTTTCAGCAGGGAGAATCCACCGAATGATGACTGACATTCCTGAGAGCCAATCGCTACTGTCCAAGCGCTGCCCGCCTCCTTGTGGGCCAATAGCCCCTGTCGTTCTTCACCCATCTCTTGAAGGGAATGGAATAGGAACCGTGTAACGTCAACTTCACTCAGCCAATAGCAACGAGGGGGAGGCGGACCGTCCTAGTGATAGACAGCTCAGTTTCTTGATATCCGCTTAGCGCGGAGCCCGCCGGGAAGCTTCGAGGCGGAGCTGGCCGGAAGGAGGCGGGAAGACTTGGTGGGATATTACCCAATCATCATGTGCACTGGTTAAGATAGACAGACAGTTGTTCCCTTCCTAGCCGACAGGAGGGGATGGTCCTTTGAACGCTAGGAGGGGCGGGCACTTGATATTTGATAGACGTGCATACCATCCAATTGCAGTGTGACCTTTTCAGATGGACGGCTTTTCTGGCCAATGAAGGCTTATGGCGGGGTCTCGGGGGCCGGGCGGTGGACCCTCTGGTAAAAGGCGGTCCCCGGTCAGGGGGGAGAGAGAAGAAAGGGGGGGGTCTCGGAGGCCGGAGGACTTGGGTGAAGATGGCGGCAGCCGAGGCCGCGAACTGCATCATGGAGGTGAGTAGCTGGGCTCTTCAGGCCCGTGGAGGGGCGGCGCGCGACGGGTTGTCCACGGCCCGAACTGTGGAGACGGGGCCTTGTGTGTGCTGGGCCTCGCGTAGGTCCGCATCGGGGGATGTGTGCGATCGTGATGGGGGTGACCCCAGCATTCGGGGCTCTGGGACCCCACAGCTGAGTCGAGGGCCGTCGCACGTGGTCGCGGGCCGGGGGCGCGTCTAGCCGGGCCGCACGTGGTCGCGCAGCGTAGCGTGGGGAGGGGGGTGTGCCGCTCGAGGGGCCCCGCGGGCTCCACGTGCGGGACAAAGGCCCCGCCCCCGGTCCGATGACCTGGGCTGCACTCGGGAGGGTCCTGGGGGTGCCACCTCCGTCCCGCCACCCGCTCACCCAGGCTTGGCTGTGGGCGTCCGTGCACCCTCGCGGGGCCCGAGCCTCACCCCGCGCCCCCCTGGCCTCAGCCCTGGCTTACCCTTGTGCGGTTCCTGGGGTGGGGGGATGGGCAGGGCCCTGTGACCTCTCTGTAAGAGGATGGTGGGGCATCGCCACCGAGGAGATCCGCATCCGGCGCCGGGCACCCCCTCGTGGTCATTATGGGCTTGGGAGAGGGGCGTCTTTTTCACGGGGCGTGGCCCGGAGCCCACCCCTCATGGGCGCGCCCTCGGGTGGATGGTCAGAGGTCGGTCTTGGGTGAAGGAGTTCCCATGGCTCTGTAGGTACACAGACCAAGGGGCCTTAACCCCCACCAGAACCCCTTTTTTACGCAGCTTGAGGGTGGGAGGGGACTCTTTTTGGAGGATTTAGCACTGGCTTATTTGCTTACAGTGGAGTGTTCCATCCCTGAGCTGCGTTCCTCAGTCCACTTTTTACTTAGTTTGATGCAAAGTGGGTCTGGCAGCCGGGCGGTGGTGGCGCACGACTTTGATCCCAGCACTCGGGAGGCAGAGCCAGGCGGATCTCTGTGAGTTCGAGACCAGCCCGGGCTGCAGAGTGAGTTCCAGGAAAGGCGCAAAGCTACACAGAGAAACCCTGTCGCGAAAAACTAACTAACTAAATAAATAAATAAAATGGGTCTGGCCTTGAACTCATGGTGTAGCCCAGGCTGGCCTTGAACTTGCGTCTTCTTTCCTTAAGCCTCCCGAGTAGCTCAGATGACAGCTCCACCACCAGGCCTGTAAGGCAGGTCCTAGTCCCTGGTTTCAAACCCTCTTCAGTCAGTTGTTAACCTACTGGTATCTGTACTATTGAAAAAGAGAGGCCCACACGTGAACTCCCCCACTGGCTGTGGGGAACTGAGCGTAGCAGGTCTTGGTCTCTCTGAAAGCCTTGGATAGCAGCCATTGATGGGACATAATTTGATGTGGCCCATACCTCTTCAGGTTCTCTGGAGAGGAAGGTCAGTTGCTGGGACACCTGCCATGGGGATCAGTTAGCCCACGGGGTCACTGAAGTGACCCTGGGCCTGGCACTTGTGGACAGAGAAAAAAGAGGGCTGTTTCAGTGTGGGGTTCCAGGTGGGGTGTGAAAGGAGGGGCTGGCCCCACCTTTCCTAGGCATGTGTTATACCACTGGGTGACACCTCTCTTCAGGGGGGCAGGTATGTTCCTCACCCAGGTGGAGTTGGGGGTGGTGTGCCTGCTGTGGTGTGGTGATATGCCACATTTCTCTAAAGGAATCCTCTTAGGGCAGGAGACAATTGTGGTGGGGCAGCCAGGTGCCCAGCACCATTACCTGTCAGCCCCCTTCCTCTGGTTTATTCATGGCACTTCAGCCTGGGGTGTGTGTGTGTGTGTGTGTGTGTGTGTGTGTGTGTGTGTGTGTGTGTGTCAGGAAATGTCATCTAATCTAGGGGGGATTAAGTAGTGAAGGGGAGCAACAGCTGGCATTGCTCATGTGCCCTGGCAGGTATTCGCTCCTCTGGCCTAGATAGGGTAGGTGTATGTGGCCAGTCATCTGACCAGAGAGGGACAACATGGGGCGGGCCACCATCTCTTCAGCCAACAGCTGGGACAGGAGACCCCTTCCCTTTCCTCTCCACTCCTCTCCCTTCCCTGCCCACCGAAGCCTCACTGCTTGCTCCTGCTTACACCACTTCATGCCCAGGAAAAGCCAGCCTGCAAAACACTCACTGCCCCAAAGGCCTTCCCCAGCCACCCCAGTAGCTAATCCTTTTTCCCTGTTACTCTCTCCTAGAATTTTGTAGCCACCTTGGCTAATGGGATGAGCCTCCAGCCGCCTCTTGAAGAAGTAAATATCCTTTTGTGAGACCCCACCCCAACCCACTTCCACATAAGCATACCTCGATATATATACCAGGAGGTCTAACCATCTTGCTTCAAACCCATTTCCTCTGCTGTGCCCCCTAAACACATAGGACAGACCCCTTCCTGGCCCCAGCTGGCTTCCCCAGAACCATGGCTGCTTCCTTAACTCCATCTCCAGCCCCCCTCCCCTGGCTTTCCCTGTGTCTGCCCTGGCTCTGCCCTCCCTTTCCTCCCTCCCCAGCTGTGGGCTGAGCTAGAGACGGGGCATAGAGCCTGGAGAGATGGTAGGCGAGGCGGTTGCTCCCTGGATGGTGCTCTGGGTGGGTGCTGGAAGTGGAAACATTCCCTGGGGAAGAAAGATGCTGGAGGGGGCTGGAGGGTTGTCCTGTTGTGATGAGGGGCCTTCTGCAGGTTGAGGAGGCTCTGGGGATCCCACCTGTGACCCTTTTGCTACTCCTTCCTCTCTCTCAGGTTTCCTGTGGCCAAGCAGAAAGCAGTGAGAAGCCCAATGCTGAGGACATGACAT